TCGTTGATATGAATAAGAAATAATGCTGGCCCAAGTACAGTTCCTTGAGGCACGCCACTGGTCGATGGGAACCAGTCTGTCAGGTAGTCATTGACCTGTACTCTAAACTTACGTCCCACAATAAACTCGTGTTACCACTGAAGTAACGTGCCACCGATTCCGTATGTCCTCAGTTTACCAAGGACTACCTCGGGATTCACTTTGTCAAGCGCCTTCCTAAAGTCGATGTACACCACATCAACATCCTTCCGTTTGTTGAGAGCTCGTACCGACTGGTGGCTTGTGTACATCAAGTTGATGATGCAGGATCGCCCTTTCGTAAAGCCGTGTTGCAATGGCGTCAATAGGTCCGTCGATTCGAAGAACGCTAGCAGACACTTTTTTACAACCTTGAGCACTTTGGATAATACCGAAGTCAAACAGATCGGTCTATAGTTCTCTATTTTACTCGGATCACCACCCTTGGGAAGCGGTCTCACTATCGAGCATTTCCAGTCGTTCGGAACAGATATTTCAGAGAGCGAGTTATTGAAAGCTTTGTCACAGCTGGTGAGATGAAAATCGATAGGGACTTGAGTATTAGTGGTTGAAGTCCGTCTGGCCCGGGGGGCTTTGCACCATTGAGGTTGACGAGTAGCTGATGTACTTCGACTGCATCACATTGTAGGCTGTCGAGCAAGACTTGCGCAACCTGTGCCGGTACTGGAACAGCCGCCGGTTTACTGGAAAATACAGTGAGGAAGTGCGTAGCCAGGGCGTCCGCGCGCTCCGCGCTTGAAATGAGTGTCTTCCCGTCTAAGCTCTCTAAGACCGGTAGGTCGTCTCCAGGTTTCAGTTGACGTTTCAAGTAGGCAAATATTCGCTTGGGTGCAGTTGTGGCCGAAGATGCTAGCTCCTCTTCGAATTGCCGGCGTTTCTTGATCTTTGCGGCGTTACATAAGTTACGCTGTTTCCTGTACACTGCGTAATCTTCATCACAACCCGAGCTGATGTATCTATCCCAAAGTTTACGACGTCGTCGCGCTAACTGTCTGTATTCCCTATCAAACCAATGCGGTTTGACAGGTCCGATTTTTGGATACTTAAGGGGAACGAACCGAGTACAGAGCGAGTTAAGCTTCCCCTTCATTAATGACCACCACGCCTCAAGTGACGCATCCTCTGGTAGTGTCCAATCAGTCTGACTTGCGGCTTGAAGGAGTCCGTTGAAGTCCGTCTTCCAATAGTTGAATGTCGGCTTCTGTTGATTGTAATATGGTAACGACAGTTCTAAGCTTGCTACATTAGAGCAGTGGTCACTGTTCGCCAGAGATTCGATGACTCTGATCTCTTTTAGCTTCTGCTCGCAGCTCGTAAACATTAGGTCCAGACAAGATGCCGAGTGCGGAGTTACGCGCGTCGGTTGGATGACATGTTGCGTTGCCCCAATTTCAATAGTCATTTTAGCGAATTGAGCCTCAACGTTGCCATGACCGGGAAGAAGTCGAACATCTGGCCAAATTATCTTAGGTAAATTTAGATCCCCCATAAGTAAGAACTGAGGGCGGCTCATGTGCTTCTGTACATGTGGTATCCAATCGCAGCAACGGTTTAATGGGCTCCGGTAGATAACCCCCACAATTAGTTCTGCGCGCCTGAGACGGATTGTGCACCACAATTGCTCGCATAAACTATCCTCGCTCCGATAGGTACTGATAAGTTTGCCAGATAGTGACGATTTATGTACAACAGAACACCACCGTGAGCCTTTGATTTTCGGTCACATCGGAACAAGAGTATCCTGACAACACGACTTCTTGGGTATGATGTCGGAGTTCAGCCATGTCTCTGCAAGTCCTAAAATGTCCGGCCGCTCCGAGACAGCGAAGCGGCACAGTTCGTCACGTTTGTTCATTAGGCTGCACACGTTGGCGAATGCGACACGGAGTTCCTGGGAGGTACTGCTGGACGAATTGCCTGGAGGTTGAGTAACCGGTTGGTACGGTTTCGTACACCTTTCTTGATCACCCGAAAATTTACTGTCTGTAAGTCAGTCTCACCTTCCTCTGTACGGCTTTTGATGTCAATGACCGCAGTCTTCAAAAGATCCCTGTCACCGGGTTCCAATCTCGGGGCGGATGTGAACTTTATGCTTTCAGCCTTGACAGACGAGACAGTATGAGCTACGGCATATTAGGATTTGCAAAAGTGACTCCTCAGAGGTCGACATGACTGGTTAGTTTTCTGGCCAAGTCGGATTACTTGTTTTAATCGTCACACTGTCCTCGCCCACATCCAAGAGTCAATCGATGAGCCCCTGGAGGAACTCAACATCGTGATCATAACGTATCTGAGGGTTTTCATCTTTTGACTCCGGTACGTGGAAGACCATGAGATTATGACGCCTTTAGCGAAATCAGTAATGAACCTGTGGGAGCAGTACTAGAGGCGCTTAACTGATTGGGTAGTTGTTTATCAGCAGGTGACGTCTGAACTCGATTACGTGGGCCCTTGCGCATTAATGGCATTAATGGCAACAAAATTTACTCAGAGTGATACTTTCAAGCCCTTTAATCCGCTTCCGAAATCTTATCTTCTTGCAAGTGTAAAATCATTGGTACTTAATGCTTCCTCTTGGTTATTGTAGACGGATAATTTGTGTACCCGCATTTGCAGATGCAACCGTCCATTTGGTAAGCGGATTCGCTGTCTCTATTCCCATTTGTAGCCGTAGTTTCCATCTTCGGAAACTACCGGATCTTTAGTTTTGCTAGGAAGCTTCTTTTAATGTTGACCAGAAAATGTTAGACATGATACTGGCCGCTATTCCTCTTAATAGCTTTCTGATGAAGAGAAGTGCTACTAATACAACTTGAAGTGGCTTAACTCCTTGTACTAAACCGGACGGGACTCAGAACTATTAAGCTCATAATACTGCCTCAGTTACTGTAGCCAATTTCCAAATGTTAACCATATTCCAATGAGTCTCTGAGACCCCCGGCCAAAGGTCCATGTAGGACCATTCAGCAGAATTATCCTGGATAGTTAAGGCAGATAGGTTGCCATCAGGAGAAGTTGGTGACAACTGTTATTTGTGACGGATAGTCGACTGTTTGTTTCCGGTTTTTCAATGAATACTCGGTGCATACCTTAAGCAGCATTTGGTGTGCGCTATCCCGGCCCGTCGTAGGACGTCAACTTCGTTGTACTTGCGACTCCATTGTGTACGGAGATTAAGAATGTTGAGGGTCCGTTCTATGTGTCCTACTGGCTTAGTGTAAGCCACTGGACAATTCGAAGCACACTACAAGCTTCTGTGATCTTTGCTATAAGACTAAGTAAGCTGGAAGTACTCGAAATGTTTGATAGCAACCGTTACCACATTTTGAGGATAAGTAGCAGATTTAACCCGACAAGTACCGCTACTTACTTGGCACGGATATTATGAGGACCGCACGAGAACGTACTTTAGCCGTCCAGTTGCACTGTCCATTCACTCGTGGGCGCTTTAGGATACATCTAACCGATTCCCCTTTATGCTGCCTTCCATTAAAAAATGCAAACCATCTTTATTTAAACGTAGGAAATAAAAAACTGTTCCATAAGTTTAACGTAGCTTAATCATTCATTTCACTGACCATGAATCCTCCACCTACTGTTAACCGCATGATCGCGTACCTAACATCGAATAATTCAACTAGTAGGTATTAGTCGATAAACTGCACATTACGGCATATTGTATGACTGTTACTGATTTTGATCAATCCCTAAACCGAAAGCATTATGAAAGTTTAAAAATGAAAATAAGAGCTAAGCAATTTTAGACGTTTATTCAGACCTTTGTTTACCATGTTTGTGACAGTGTCGCCACCTTACAAAAAGGAACGGAATAACTTGTCGCTTCGAAATGTATCTCAGTAGTTTTGAGAAAGTGTATGTACTAGTTAACCAAAGTAAGAAGAAAAGCGTTTCCATCACTATCAGAGCAGTAGCAAGAGACAAAATCAAATGCCAGCTCAGATTGTCCTGTGCTTCATTACGGAGGAACAGTTAATCTATATGGTTGCTGACAAGCAGCTTAACACTAGGATAACCTGCCTGGGGATGCCACCTTTGGTGTGTATCAAATTACTTGTTCCTGTGGTACAGGGCCGCGCAACAAGACGTTTAGCCGAACCTGTACGAGAGCATCACCCAGCGTGGTTGGATCGGGGACTGGACAAAACTTGTACCACCACGATTGTCGCACATCTGGCCGATACGAATAACTCGGTTGTTATCACAGACGTCTTCCGCCTGATCTATCGCGTGAGGGGAGTAACCATAACGCGTGATCAACTACCGCATAGTTGCAATGGCAGATTCGATCGCCTTTCGTCTTCACCACCTTCCTCTATATGTGCACAAACACTTTGTGAGAACCCTGGCCCTTCCCTGGCTAGCTGCTGCCACACACAATCGTGTGAACCAGTCGACACACGGCTGTCACGTCTACCTCCTACTCCAATCCTAATAGGTTCTTTAATCTGTTCTACAGGAAACACGATTAGGATTGGTTAGCTATTTAAATGTGTTATCCTGATGATGAATCAACGAACACGAGGTTGTTTATTTACTGACTTTTCATGAATAACACCAGTCACGGTTTACTGCGACAATGTCAAATGTGTGTTGGTTTGGCATTGCACGGCTGAATGCCTTTGCGTTGAATTTGCTTATTTCGTGGCCACTGCTTTGGCGACGAGGTTTCAACGTTAATGACAAAACTAAGTCACTAAATAGAAAAACTTTCGTACACACACTGAAGATAAAATAAGTTGTTTCCCTTTACACAGTAGTCTCTTGCTACAATAGTATATTACGGTTGGGAGGGAACATCAAACGGTATAAACTTTTACAGCTTTCTCCATGTGTAACATCAAAATTAAACAAATTCGGAATCCTGGCAAAAGTTACCTTTCCTTAATGTTTTCATAAATGTGTGCTAGTATTTTCATTAAAGGCAAAACTGTCAAACTTACATCGCTTCAATTGTATGCTTATCTTGTACCGCATCTTGCTTCCGTAGGTCTGATTAAAAAAAATGAAAAATAGCTGAAAGAATATGTAGAATGTATGTAAATGCAACCGGTAGCGACAGTTATGTGCGGATGAGTAAGGCAGTTTCACAGTGTTGTTAGGCGATGTAAAATATGTTTGAAGCGCAAATAACTGTCTATCTTCCGCTGTTCGTTTACTAACTAATCTGCATAGCGGAGTGGGCTCCTTTGAGAGATATCTGTTCCGTTCTACGCTGGCCTAACAAATAGGGTGCACTTGGAGCCATGCTGAAGTAGTATGATTCCAGTAATTCTAGGCGGTGTATATATATATATATATATATATATATATATATATATATATGGCGGTAGAACCTATGGTGTCCTGAGGCTGATGGTGGCTAAATACTGGCAGATGGTCTACTCCCTGTTGCTAATGATGTGCCATGAGCTCATGTCCTGGACGCATCCTCGCAGCGACCGCTGGATGGGAGTTGGGTTACGCCGTTCTCCCTGCTCAGATCAAGGACACCAATCCACATGAGTTAGTGAACTGACAATATGCTAGACCCGCTGCCTTTCGGGTGTACCTTTAATCGAAGGCTTTGGCTGAGGACCCAAGTCGTTCTCCTGTCAGGTGTGGGCACCCTGCTAGTATCATAGTCCATCCTCTTCGGGGGTTAGGAAGTAGTCGATGACGCTATTACCGTAATACCTAGCCATGGGAGAAAACAGGTCTACGGGTTATAAACTCACAGCTCGATTGGCGTGGAGCAAGAGCCCCACACATTTTCTCTGACGGTGGGAGGGCACCTCCGGGTGTTCAATGATTTGCTACTACCCACCTCAAGCCAGGCAGACCCTGGTCAAATTGGTGCAAACCCGCAAACAACCCACTTGCGTCTGGCCGTGGTACCGGGTGCGTATCCTACTACGATCGCAAAACATATACGAATCGCTAAAGTACCTCAAAGGCTGTGTGTGACAGCCGTCAAGCAGATCCCAATCTGTCTCTGCAATCACATTCCCGAGACGGATCTGCTTCCCACTGCCTTGTGGGTCAGGCTATTGAGCCAAAGACTCCAGGTGGAGCCCCTCAAGGAAACCTCGAAGCACAATAGCCATCTCGCGTGCGATTGCTCACCAATGCAATCGTATGTCTGCGCGCAAAGCACTCAGCATCGGGTGCTGAAACGTGCGCACACTACTGGACCGGAACTCTAGTGAGCGCCCCGAACGACGCAGTGCACTGTTTGCGATGGAACTGGCGCGCTACCACATCGATATTGCGGCGCTCAGGGAAACCGGTTCACTGAGCAAGGTACGTTACATGAAGCAAGTGCTGACTACACATTCTACTGGATGGGAAATGCACCACGTGATCATGGGGTGGGATTTGCAATATCCGATCGCCACCATGGCCAGCTCGTGGGCCAACCCACAGGCATCAGCACGCGACTGATGACTTTTCGCCTAGGACTCGGAAGAGGTAAGTTTGCCACTATTATTAGCATGTACGGTCCGATCATGTGTTATTGTGATGACACGCGTGATCAATTCTACACTCAGCTATCCTCTGTGATACGGTCTGTGCCGAGGAGCGACCGACTATTTCTGCTGGTTGCTTTCAACGCGCGCGGATGCCGATGGCAGCTTATTTAGAGTTGTTCCTTCAGCTCGTGATTCACCTTATCGATACTCCCTCCTCTCTAGGTCAGCGAGTGAGGTACGTGCTGAAAACGTTCCCAAACGTGTGGGTAGAGCTCACATTGAGTTGAGTTGTTGATAGTACCAAACATGTTGTGGAGAACGTTGCAACTAAAGTAGCCAAATAACAACTTGTTAAGTTTTTACTCAATTCTCTCCACCTACGTTAGATTCTGAATGTTGAGCGAGCTCTTAAACCCTGTCACGATTGCGTACTCTATGGTGGTCATTTTCACTTTCATGGTTTGGTAAATGCCAACTTTATCATATGAACTTCTAAGGAGCTGCACACTGTGATTCTAACTCGGCTCATTCTCTCTCAACTTACTGCTGATATGCTATTTGCTGCTTTTTGAAAGCAATGCATACTGCCTTCTCTAAATAGTTCTGTCCAGTGGAGCATGGTGACATTAACCAAGATTATGAAGTAGATCCATCTCAGTTATGAATCAGTAAATTCTTAGTCGGACGTCCAGTTTCAAGTGAACATGGACCTTAGCCCTTGGCGTTTTTATAGAAGTTACGAGACATCAACTTCAAATGGAACACCGCTTACCATTTGTAGATAACATATAATCCTGCCTGGGCAAAGATTACGCACAGCACTGCTTGTGTCATCTTTCTCATCTGTTCGTTTTACTTGGTGTTTGTTAGTAGTGTAAGAAGAGTCAAAATACCACCAATGCTACCGTTTGAAAAGCACGGTAAGAAGACGAAAACTGGTAGATGCATGCATTTCCTATTGTCTCCTCAGTACATTTAACAATAACCCGTATGCAACTATATACTTAAATATGCGTGTGACCGAATAAGCATGAGGTGAAAAATGAATGACGAAAGTTCCACCCCTATGTCCACGGCAGTCTTAAGCTGATAAGTAATTGCTTTTGAACACATAATGCTGGCTTCATCCGGCTTATCGCAACGGCCTCGGCGAAACGGAGGAAGCGGGGATTAGGATGACGTAATACAAGTGTGAACGCTGATCCAAGCTCTATCCGGTGACGCGTAGTCAGTAGGTGTTTACCTATTGAGGGAGCTGGCGGCTTGCGCAAGCACGGAACTTCAGTAGGACAGGGATGCTGGTCAATTTCACGTTGAACCCACCTTGGCACGTGTTCCTTTATTCGGGAAGTCAAAGACCGATTGGTTCTGCCTATGTAACTGTCTCCGCAGTCGCACACGAATTTGTATATGCAGTGTAAGTTGGCCCCTATCGGTTGAGCTTCCTTCGTTGGAGGCACCGGCAAGTTACAGGTTCTATTGATGACCATACCGCGTGGCACAGTAACTTCTCTGCTTAGCAGAGATTAAACGTTTCGTGGTTTTCAATACAGTGCGACTGCGGAGACAGCTACATAGGCAGAACCAATCGGTCTTTGACTTCCCGAATAAAAGAACACGTGCCAAGGTGGGTTCAACGTGAAATTGACCAGCATCCCTGTCCTACTGAAGTTCCGTGCTTGCGCAAGCCGCCAGCTCCCTCAATAAGTAAACACCTACTGACTACGCGTCACCGGATAGAGCTCGGATCAGCGTTCACACTTGTATTACGTCACCCTAATCCCCGCTTCCTCCGTTTCGCCGAGGCCGTTGCGATAAGCCGGATGAAGCCAGCCCTGTGTGTTCAAAAGCAATTACTTATAAGTTTAAGACTGCCGTGGATAAATGGGTGGAACTTCCATCATTCATTTGACACCGCATGCTTATTCGATTACACGCATATGTAAGCCCATAGTTGCATACCGGTTATTGTTAATGGTACTGAGGAGACAATAGGAAATGCATGCATCTACCAGTTTTCGTCTTCTTACCGTGCTTTTCAAATTGTTGCAGGGAACTAACGGTTTTTAATTTCACTGTTCTTTAGTTAGTGCAGAGGCCGAAACTGCCGTCTTATACCTCTGTGAATGTGTACTATAAATCTGACTGAGGAAACTAAATAAACTCTTGCGATATGTGGTAAAATGTTTACCAGTTTAGTTCAGGATAAGCCATTTGATAATTGAGGCTTTCAGCATGTGTTTCGCACCCAGTTAAACAAGTTAAATCAGAAAAGGCTTTGTGAACCCGACTGGGAACATTTTCAGCATTCTCACTAGTATTGCGGATGTACTGCGGCGAAACATTTACATGAATGTGGAACTACAGCATAAAAAGAAAACATATATACACATCACCCAATTAAACCACTTGTGGTACTGGTAAGTTAATTGGAGTCCAAAAGAAAACGGGTTAAATAGAGTAATATAGCGTTGTGCGAACAAATAAACACTAAATTTAGAGCAGGGAGACCAGCAGGAGAAAGCTTTTAATAAATCAGTGTGAAGGAGGTGAAAAAGATAATTTAGAGCCTTTAATGAAGATCGCCTTGCACCAAAATGATTGGTAGCGATAAAGTCAACAACCCACTACGTCTAAAAATGAGAGTAATGGAATGCAAAAGCCATGAGAAGTCTTTTTGTAGCTGACTAGGAAAAGTGGCAATCAATCAATATAACCAGTGGAGTAAAATACAGGCAGTTATGAATGTATAAATTAAAGAGCACAGTACTGAAGACGTTTTGAGTCCCAGGGCATAAAATGATAATTTGCACAAATTGGAGGGTCAAGTTTGGACTACACGTTGTGTGATTGGATTGCGACGCGCAATCTCAGTGTAATGGAGGACTGTGGTTCACATTGAGGTGAACCTTAGTCACGGCGATCACGGGGACCATATTCAAAGTAGATGGAAATTGGGTGTTGCCCACCCGAAAACACTGCACAACCACGACGCGTTTCGATGTAACTTCATCTCATCAGGTGGAGACAGCAGGCCTCGATCCCGCGACCATTGGAATAGTAGCCCACACCACTACCCCTTTGGCTACCGGGTCACGGTGGGCAACGCTTTTTGTCACAACGGTGAATGACTAATTGGAGGGTCAAGTTTGGACTACACGTTGTGTGATTGGATTGCGACGCGCAATCTCAATGTGGATCATGCTGCGGCCCCAGTTCGCGGTATCGGCACATTCATTGCCGCTATATACTCGTGTGATTGCATCTCTTCTGAAAGGTTCTGGAATAAGTTTGGTCTCATTCGGAAGAAGAATCTGCATCCATCTCAGAAGGCTGCAACATAACAAAGATGCAGGGCTCATCCCCTAATCATCGCATCCGAGACACTAAGGGATGCTTGTCAGAGCCTCACTTTCATCGAGGCGTAATAAGAGTTGATCAATGCTCAACGGGTCTTCGTTTTGTTGTGCGCGCTCAACTGCGAGACGTCCAATCGCAAAATTCGGCAATCTGCGCGCGACCGCAGGAGAGGCAATGAGC